GTCAGTCTGCTTCTGAACATGTTGGTGTGTTCAAAACCCCGTGGGGAGGTTTCCTCTGTTCTGCAGGGCTGCCAGCCGTTGGGATGGTTTTGATGGCAAAGGGCTTGGTTTGGGTGATGGCTGGTCTCATACTGCAATGGCAACAGAGTCCATGCAACCCACCAAGCCTAAAGTATTTCCCATCTGGCCTTTTACATAACTTCACTGAATCTTGCTCTAGAAGTTGGCAGAGACTGGCTAGCTGTTCAACAAGCCCATCTCTGTGTCTTCTTGGGCACACAGGCAGAGGCTTCAAAGAGTTCCTGTAGAATGGAATGAAAAGATAGTGTCTCCATACTACATTTCCCAGCCTCCCTTGAGGTTAGACATGGTCCTGGCCAATGAGATGTGAGAATAAATGATGTCCGCCATTTCCAGTCCTGGCCCCTAAAACGTTCCTGCACTCAACTCTAGGCTTCAGGCCAGCGTCCTGTGAAGCCCAGGAAGCCTTCTGTTGAAGGTGATAGGGCCTCATGAAAGGGATTGGTTAATCACCACTTGGAGTCCAGCCACCCACCCATCAGGAAAAGGCATCTGGGGCTTTATATGAGAGAAAAATAAACCTTAATCAGTTTGAGTCATTATGCACTATTTTGAATTCATTTGTTACAGCAGCTCGAATTAATTTAACTTAAACATGGAATCCCTTCCCTGAGGCGAGGCTTTAGAGAGGGTGGAAGAGTGAAGGTTTCCCATATTCAGAAGGCCCTTAGCTTCCCAGAATGCTGGGTGGCGGTGGCGGCGGCGGCGTGTGTTAGGGCTGCCGCTGGGTTAGGGGGAAGGAGGCTGGAGGAGAACCAGGATGGAAACTATTTTTGCCGGAGGTCTTCATTCACATGCTACAACCCCAGCGTAATGAGTTTCTCTCCTCTCCTTGGCTAGTCTGTGCCCTACCACACACAGTGCCTTGAGAGGGGACCATGCTCTTTCTCCAGGAGATGCTTATTTCCAGGGGAGATGGAACCGTCTAGGATCTGGGCGACAGTCACAGAAGATGGCACAGTACAAGGGAGAGTGTTCTGAATAAGGTAGAGGCAGACCTGGCTTTCGAACTTTTCACACGAAAACTAGCTGGGTGGCAGAAGGCAAGTCGCCATCCCTGTGGAGTCATGGATTCCTCGCCCCACAATGATTTAATCCAGGAAAGGCAGAGCAGGCTGGAGTTTAGATCTAACAAGCCGGGTAGGTTTTAAACCAACTTAAGAATCTCTGCAATCCTCCAAGTCTTCTGCCATGTTGAGAGATGGGCAGTGGACAAGCTCTTTATGTACTGATGGTAGGTAGTATGTTGATACTAGGAGCCCTGGTGGTGCATTGGTCACTTACATGTTGGGCTGTAAACTGCAAAGTCAGTAGTTCAAAACCATTAGCCATTCCATGGGAGAAAGAGGCTTTCTGCTCCCATAAAGCATGACAGCCTTGGAAGCTCACCAGGGCAGTTCCACCCGGTCCTATAGGGTTGCTATGAGTCAGCATCGACTTCATGGCAGAGAGTAATTTGAAGAAGTTAATGAATGTGTTCCCTGCTGCCCAATCTTCTGCCTGTGTTGTAGTTAATGTTGGCTGCTGTCGGCTCTGGACTGTGGGGATCATGCGCACAGTGGGCTCTGATCATTGTCATCCATTGGGTTTCTCATGACTACTTTTTGTAAGTAGACTCTCACGATCCCCCCCCCCTAGTTCCTCCCTCCCCCCCCCCCCCCCCCCCCCCCCCCCACCCCTTATCTTTCTTGGTCTGGATGCTGTGCTGCGATCTGCTCGGCATCACAGCAACGGTGAGTTCCTATTCGTACCGTGTTTACAAGGTTACTGTGAATCGGCTGAAGATTTACAGTGCAGACCATCTGGTTTATATTCAATCATTCATGCACATGTTGTTTCATCTGATCCAAGAGAATCTCCTCGATGCACCCTCACTTACCCCACTTCCTCCCTGTGTCTTTTGGGTTTCCGTCCCTCCTCCTTTCCGAGTGTTCAGAGCTTTGCCCTTGAGTAAAGGCTGCCCTTTTGATTTTTGTTGTTGTTGTTTTTAATCATTTTATTAGGGGCTCATACAACTCTTATCACAATCCATACATATATCACTTGTGTAAATCACATTTGTACATTCACTGCCCTCATCATTCTCAAAACATTTCCTCTCCACTTAAGCCCCCGGCATTAGGTACTCATTTTCCCCTCCCTCTCCGCTCCCCCCTCCCTCATGAGCCCTTGATAGTTTATAAATTGTTATTTTGTTGTATCTTGCCCTGTCCGATGTCTCCCTTCACCCACTTTTCTGTTGTCTGTCCCCCCAGGGAGGAGGTCACATATAATTCCTTGTAATCGGTTCCCTCTTTCCTACCCACTCTCCTTCTACCCTCTCTGTTTCGCTACTCACACCACTGGTCCTGTAGGGCTCATCTGCCCTGGATTCCCTGGAATTTCAGCTCCTATCTGTACCAGTGTACATCCTCTGGTCTAGCCAAACTTGCAAGGTTGAATTCGAGTCATGGTAGTGGGAGCGGGGAGGAAACATTTAGGAACTAGAGGACAATTGTATTTTTCATCAATATAAGTTATTATTTTATCATGTCTTACACCATGATGTCGCCCTTCACCCACTCTTTAGCAATATTTGTGATGGTTTTGCTGTTGCTCCTCAGTGCCCTTTGAGCTGAGTAAGGCGAAAGCTCATCTTTCTCATAGTTACTGGTCACCAGTAATTTTTCATATGTCTGCCAGCTGCCTGAATATCCTTATTTGGTAAAGGTTCTGTTCATGTCCTGTTGCCCATTTTGTGGCTGGTTGTTCGTCTTTTAGGGGCTGGGTTGTCGCAGTTTTCTATAGATTTTATAGACTGAACTCTCGCCCAGATCAGTTGTTTCCAAATATCCACCCCCCCCAGCTCTAGACTGTAGTTTATATATTTATTCTTTTAACAAAGTCTTTTTTTAAAAAACTTTATTGGCATATAATTCACATAGTATACAGTGCAGTAGTTTGATCATACTTTTAATGAAGTCTTGCTGAGCATGTTTTTAATTTTCATTTTTTGTGTCTGGTATGAAGTGGGAGTCCTGTTCCATTTCTGTGCAATTGGACAGCCAGTGTTTCTGCTCCACTGAAGGAACCTTGTGGAAAATCAGTGTTGAAAATCTACAGTTGTCCGTGGATGGCTGGGTTGGATTCTGAGTTCAGTGCTAGTCCCCTGGTGTGTGTCGTCACTGAATCAGGACCAGGCTGTTTTGATTACAGTGGGTGTGCAGCGTGCTTGGCTCCCTGGGCGCCCTTGGCCTCCTGTTCTTTTTCTTCAATATTGCTCTGGCTGTTTTACGTTTCATTCCTTTCCCAACGAAGTCGGTCATTAGTTTTTCCACCTCAGTGAATGGAAAAGTAGATTGTTTGGGGTATAATTGACATTTTCACTGAATATGTCTTCCATGCGCATAGGACAGCTTTCCTTTTTATTCCTTAGGTCTCTTTATTAAACTTTCATCTTGTACACTCGTATCTAAGTTTTTAAAAATATCTTTAAAAAATCTTCATACTGTTTATCTCACCTATTTAAACATATACAGAAACAGAATAACATAATGAAGCAGATTCACCCAACTGTGACTTGTGTTCCACAAAGAGCCTCGTAGCTGCTGAGTGGAGAGTAGACTTAAAGGCAAACAAGGGGAAGTCAGGAGATCTGCCCGAGGCTGTCAGTCCACCCAAGGAGCAGGGGGAGGGGGGGGGGCGGATTGCTGGACTGAGGTGTAGTTGTGGAGATGGTGAGGAGGGTGAAGGTTCCAGAGGGTTCTGGTGAAGGGCAGAGCTGGCATCTGAGACATGCAGGGAAACAATGTGGAGAAGTCACTCGGGTTTGGGGCCTGAGCCTCTGGATGTGAGTGGGAATAAAGATATTGAGACAGGGTCGTGAGAGGGGCAGTTCACGTGATGGTTGGGCAGGCCCGTGATTGGGTGGTTAGATTTCTGTGTCCAAGATGACTGGGAAGGGTCAAGTTGGAGGTAGACGTTTGGGACTGGTTCCGAAAGTGACGATTCTAGGCGAAGTGGCCATGGGAAGGAAGGAAGTCTGGAACCAGGCTCTGGGGCCTCCAGAGTTAACATCTGCCGGAACAGGAAGAGCTGGGGCTCCGGGAGAAAGTAGGGGGATGGTTGGGGTCCCAGAAACTATGTGTAAAAAGCATCTCCAGATGGAAGACACACTGCCTTTATTACGTGGAGCTGAATTCAGGAGCCAGATAAAAATAGAAAGGTCATCACTGGGTTGGGCTACATGGCAATCATCAGTGACCTTGGCCCAGGCTGTCTCTATAGCGTAATGGAGCAGAAGCCTTGCTGGAGCGGGAGGCTGGAGTGCGGTCCAGTCTCGAGGATGAGGAGCTAGTGATGCAGGTGGGGTCAGTGTTAACGGCAAGCATCTGTGCTGTGGAAATGCTGTGGGTTTGCCAGGTTGTACAGAACCTTGCTTTCTAGCAAGATGGATCTGTACAGGTGTTTGATTCCATACAAGATGCTCAGTAAGACTTCCCAGCTTTCTATGGAAAGCCATTTCAGCCCTGCCCTAGTCTCTGTTGCGGCCCAGGGGTTGGGAGCTGAGCTTTGGGTGGCAGAGGCCCAGGATGTTAAGCCTAGTGACCCTGAGTGACACCCACTACTACCAGGCTCCCACCTCCTCCCAGGTACACTGTGCTTCCCAGTCCTGTCTGCCTTGAGCTTGGCGTCTCATACACGCTGCGTTTGGAGCTGATGCGAGCAGGGGGAGGCTCCCAGCCTGGGAGCCCTTACACTGGACCTGGCCTCCTCATTGACTCTGTGAGCTGAGACCAACTGAGGGGGCAGGGTCTGGGATGTGGGGCCTGTGGTGGGAGTTGGGTAGGAGGGGTGTGCCGGAAGAGGAGGAGGAGGAGGAGGAGGAGGGTAGACTCATGGAGGTGCTGTGATGTAGAGCACCCCCTTCCTGGCTCATCCCCAGCTGGTGCTCCTGCCCCGGGTCCTGGTGCTGGAGATGTTTAGTGGGGGTGATGCCGCTGCCCTGGAGCGCCGTGCCACCTTTGAACGGTACCGCTGCCATGAGGAAGGTCTGACGCCCAGCAAGACCCCACCCTCTGATGCCTGCGCCCCCCTGCTCATCAGTGCATCTGCTCTGCTCTACAACGGTGCCCTCCGTGAGTACTTATGGTTTGTGTGTGTGTGGGGTGGGGGGAGTGGGGGGTGGGGGGACAGAGGGGGGTGGGGGTGTGAGACGGGATGGGGGGACTGAGCCTGACCTGGCCCTTCCCCCCACAGCCTGTCAGTGTGACCCCCAAGGCTCACTGAGTTCTGAGTGCAACTCCCATGGCGGGCAGTGCCAGTGCAAACCTGGAGTGGTGGGGCGTCGCTGTGACCGCTGTGCCCCTGGCTACTATGGCTTTGGCCCCATGGGCTGCCGAGGTACCTTCCTGCATGGCCCCACTCTGTTATTCATCCTCCCCCCTCCCTCCAATTCGCCTTTGGACACTATATTCTCATTCCCAAGACACTTATCCTTCCCTTCCATTCCCTGACCTTCCCATCCTGACCTCACCCAGCCAGCCCTCCAACAACCTTCCCAGACTTAGCCTCTGCCCTGCCTGCCCACAGCCTGCCAGTGCAGCCCCGAGGGAGCACTCAGCACCCTGTGCGAAGGGACCAGTGGGCAATGTCCCTGCCGAGCTGGCGCCTTTGGACTCCGCTGCGACCACTGCCGGCATGGCCAGTGGGGCTTCCCCGCCTGCCGTCCGTGTGTCTGCCACGGGCACGCGGATGAGTGTGACGCCCACATGGGCACTTGCCTGGGCTGCCGTGATCACACCGGGGGCGAGCACTGTGAAAGGTGAGCCAGAGCAGCTGTGAGTGGGGGTGGGGAGGCGGGGAGGGCAGGCTGCCCAGGGATGACACATCTTTCCCTGCCCCTCCCACAGGTGCTTGGCTGGCTTCTATGGCGACCCACAGCGGCCCTACGGGGGCCAGTGTCGGCCCTGCCCTTGCCCTGAAGGCCCTGGGAGCCAGCGCCACTTTGCTACCTCTTGCCACCTGGACGGCTACTCCCAGCAAGTGGTGTGCCGCTGCCGGGCAGGCTATACAGGTACGAGGGGAGCAAGTGGGCGTGGGACCAACACAGGGCAAGTGGGCTGAGCACTCACGCCTTATCCTTGACTTTGGACAGGGCCACGGTGTGACGCCTGTGCTCCAGGACACTTTGGGGACCCATTGAGACCAGGCGGCCAATGCCAACGCTGTGAGTGTAGTGGGAACATTGACCCCATGGATCCTGGTGCCTGTGACCCCCACACGGGGCAATGCCTGCGCTGCTTACACAACACAGAGGGGCCACACTGTGCCCACTGCAAGCCCGGCTTCCATGGGCAGGCTGCCCGACAGAGCTGTCACCGTGAGTGTGGTGGTGGTGGGGTGGTGGGGCTGCTTGTGGGGGATGGGGGGTAACCCGTTGCGTGGGCTCCCTGACGAGTGTGTGCTCATCTCTGCATAGGCTGCACGTGCAACCAGTTGGGCACAGATGCCCAGCAGTGCCTGTCCACCAGCTGGTGTCACTGTGACCCGAGCAGTGGTCAGTGCCCATGCCTCCCCAACGTCCAAGGTCTGAGCTGTGACCGCTGTGCCCCCAACTTCTGGAACCTCACCAGTGGTCATGGCTGCCAGTCCTGTGCTTGCCATCCAAACTGGGCCACAGGCCCCACCTGCAATGAGGTTTGAAACCCTCTCAGGGACCCCTGGGTGTGTGGGACCAGCTGCCAGCCTCAGGTTGGTCTCCAGGGTGTAGCTGTGACAGCAGCTCCACCCCGGCCCTGTTCTGATCCTAGTTCACAGGGCAGTGCCACTGCCGGGTGGGCTTTGGCGGGCGGACCTGTTCTAAGTGCCAGGAGCTGTACTGGGGAGACCCCGGACTGCAGTGCCGTGGTGAGGGACCCAGCAGGAGCCGGTGGGGGTGGGGGCAGCCCTCAACACATCCGTCCCTGGAGCCCAGCCTGATGCTTGCCCTCCCTGCAGCCTGTGACTGTGACCCTCGTGGGATAGACTCACCTCAGTGTCACCGCACCACGGGCCACTGCAGCTGCCGCCCGGGCGTGTCTGGCGTGCGCTGTGACCAGTGTGCCCGTGGCTTCTCGGGGGTCTTTCCTGCCTGCCACCCCTGCCATGCCTGCTTTGGAGACTGGGACCGTGTGGTGCAGGATCTGGCTGCCCGTACACGGCGCCTGGAGCAGCGGGCGCGGGAGCTGCAGCAGACGGGTGTGCTGGGCGCCTTCGAGAGCAGCTTCTGGAGCATACAGCAGAAGCTGGGCACTGTGCAGGGCATTGTGGGTTCCCGGAACACTTCAGCGGCCTCCATTGCACAACTTGTGGCAGCCACAGAGGAGTTGCGGTGTGGATGGGTCTCAGGACACACGGTGGGATGGGGCAGAGGGCTAAAGAACCAGGGCGGAGGCCCCTCTAAATAATGCCTCCCCCATGGGTGCAGGCGTGAAATCGGGGAGGCCACTGAACACCTGACCCAGGTAGAGACGACGCTGACAGATGTGCAGGATGAGAACTTCAATGCCAACCATGCACTGAGTGGGCTGGAGCGGGACGGGCTTGCCCTGAACCTCACGCTGCGACAGCTCAGCCAGCATCTGGACTTGCTCAAGCACTCGAACTTCCTGGGTGAGTTGTGGGCCAACTAGGCCGGCAGAGCAGTGGTCCTCTCCAGCTGACCATCTGTCTCTGCCCAACTTAGGTGCCTATGACAGCATCCGACAGGCCTACAGACAGTCCACAGAGGCAGAACAGCGTGCCAATACCTCGGCCCTGGCAGTGCCCAGTCTCGTCAGCGACTCAGCACGCACCCGGCACAAGGCAGAGGGGCTGATGCGTGCCCAGAGGGCAAACTTCAACCGCAAACATGCAGCCAACCAGCGTGCCCTAGGCGAATTGGCTGCCCGTACCAACACTCTGAGCCTGACTGGCATCAATGAATTGGTGAGGTGCCTGCCGGGCTGGGGTGGGACAGGTGGGTATGGCTGTTCCTTCTATGGACTCTTCACTTGCTCTGTGCTTGCCAGGTATGTGGGGCTCCAGGGGATGCACCTTGCTCTACAAGCCCTTGCGGGGGCGCTGGCTGTCGGGATGAGGATGGGCAACCCCGCTGCGGGGGCCTCAACTGCAAGGGTGCCGCAGCCATGGCGGACCTGGCGCTGGGCCGGGCCCGGCACACGGAGGCAGAGCTGAAGCGGGCACTGACTCAAAGTGATGACATCCTCAGCCAGGTGGCTGAGACCCGTCGGCAGGCTGGCGAGGCCCAGCAGCGGGCCCAGGCGGCCCGAGACAAGGCCAATGCCACCCGAGGACAGGTGGAACAGGCCAATCAGGAGCTGCGGGAACTGATCCAGAGTGTGAAGGACTTCCTTAGCCGTGAGCTCCCATGCGGCCCGGGCCACATGCTTGTTTCCCCGTGTTTGAGTCTCTCCCTGGGTCCACACGTGGACCTGAGTTATGACCCCATGTCTGACCCCTGAATCCTTGGCCATCTATGGCCCCCAAGTCAGTGTCACTGAGTATGTTCCTTGTATGGTCCCCAATTCTGTGCCTGTTGCCAAATCCGTGTTCCCGTGTGTGGTCTGAGTCTACACCCCAAGAATGAATCCCCATGCTGAAGAGTCTGTATACTTAAGCCCTTGCTTGTGTCCCCACAGAGGAGGGGGCTGACCCCGATAGCATTGAAAAGGTAGCCACACGCGTGCTCGAGCTCTCCATCCCAGCCTCACCGGAGCAGATCCAGCACCTGGCAGGGGCAATTGCCGAGCGGGTCCGCAGCCTGGCAGACGTGGACACGATCCTGGCACACACCGTGGGGGATGTGCGACGGGCCGAGCAGCTAATGCAGGATGCACGCCGGGCATGGTCTGAGCCAACCCCTTTCCCCCATCCCCGAGTCCTTGTCCTGATACTTGCAGCCCCTGAATTCCCCTCTCCCCCAGGACCCGGGCTGAAGGTGAGAAACAGAAAGCAGAGACAGTGCGGGCAGCACTGGAGGAGGCCCGGAGAGCGCAGGGTGTTGCCCAGGGTGCCATCCGGGGGGCAGCTGTTGACACTCAGGACACAGAGCAGACACTGCACCAGGTTTGGCCTCCCTAGGGCATCAGTTCGGGGCAGGTTACGGGCATGCTCCATGGATCCGTTTAACCCTGGCGTACTCATGGCAGGTACAGGAAAGGATGTCAGGGACAGAACAGGCCCTAGGCTCTGCAGGAGAGCGGGCACGGCAACTGGATGCTCTCTTGGAATCTCTGAAACTGAAACGGGCAGCTAATAGCCTGGCAGCCTCTCGGGCCGAAGAAACGGCAGGCAGTGCCCAGAATCGCGCCCAGGAGGCCGAGAAGGTAGGCTGGAGCCAAGGCAGCCGGAAGACTTGGGGGATGGAGGCTGGGCCACGGCTGGGCCACTACATTGACCCTTCTATATCCACAGTTACTACAGGGCCCCTTGGGTGACCAATACCAGAGGGTGAGGGCGCTGGCGGAGCGTAAGGGCCAGAGCGTACTGGCAGCACAGGCCCGGGCAGAGCAACTGCGGGATGAGGCTCGAGGACTGTTGCAGACTGCTCAGGACAAGCTGCAGCGGTTGCAGGGTGAGGAACAGAGTGGGCGGACACAAGATGTGGGACTGTGGGAGTGGGACCCCTTAGCTAAGACCTGCCTTTCTTAGAGCTGGAAGGCACCTACGAGGAGAACGAGCGGGCGCTGGAGGGCAAGGCGGCCCAGCTGGACGGGCTGGAGGCCAAGATGCGCGGTGTTCTGCAAGCCATCAATCTGCAGGTCCAGATCTACAACACCTGCCAGTGACCCAGGCCCAGGGCCTACCTTAGCACTCTGCCCTGCACACGGGACTGTCTCTATGCCCGAAAATAGTTCCTGGCCCAGCAAGGCTCCCAATAAACTTTTGTGAACCCCCACTACACGGTCTGGACTCTGATTTGGGGTGGGGCGGAACCGGTAGTGTCCCAGTTGGGGTCCGGGCAGGGCGGGGTCCCGCCCCCTCCCCAAGGGCCCGCCCCGGAGCTGCTGGGAGCTACGCCCCGTTCCCGCCGGAAGTGCGTCACCAGGTCGGCGCTCCGCCTTCCGCAGCTGTAACTATAAGGCGAAACAAAACAAGCTACAGAGGCAGTGGCCCCGGTGCCGGGACGGGGGGAGGGGCGCGCCGGAACCGGAACCGATCCGACGCCGGAACCGGAACCGAAAGCAGGTTGCCAGGGCCCGAAGAGGGCTGGCGGCGCGGATCTCGCTCGGTGAGTGGGACGGGCAGCCGGTCTCCCACCTGACCCGAGTAGGGGAGGACGCGGCGCGGGCCTGGGGCGGCCTGCTCAAGGTCGCGGGCTGTGTCAGCTCCGACCGCTCGAGCCCCGAGGCGTGCTGATCCCGCCGACGTGGTGGGGCCGTTGCGCGACGTCCGTGGCCGGCCTCCTTCCTCAAAGCTGGCTGGCGGCGAGCGAAGGCGCCTTCCTGGAGGAGGTGGTGACGGGCCCGCGGTTCGGCGGTTGGGAGGTGGGTCGCAGTCGGGCCCAGGCACTGGTCTGTGGTCAGTATCTCGGCGCCATCATCTGAGGCCGACTCAGGTTCCCAACAGCCCTTTACCCCCCTCGGTGTCCTCCGAGGATGGAGGAGGGATGCGGCCTTTGGCCGGGGCCGACTAGGAGGAGGCTTGCAGGCGTTTGGCCCCTTGGTGTTGGCCTGGTGATATCATTCAGTCCAGCCCTTCAGGACCCCATCTGGCTCTTGTAGGGATTATTCCTACCCCTAACGTGCACACACCTGGGGAGCACAGATGAGTCACTCTGTCCCGCTGCCGGCCTAAGCCTGACCAGGCTGCCAGGCGTCCCCGGATCCGTGTTGCATCTCTACTCCCCCCACCCCCCAATCTCAGAATTAGAATTTGAGGAACTTCATTTTGGATGGAGAGAGAGGGCTCAGAAGCTCCTGGCCCATCCGTGGGAAACTGGGAGGGAGATCTCTCTCTCTCTCCCCCTCCTTCCCCTCCCTTTCTCTCTCCCTCTCCCTCTCTGATGAGTAAGGAGACCAGGGAGCAAGGGGAGGGTGTTGGTTGCAGTTGCACATCCTACTTCCTGTCTGAGGAAGAATGCTGCCGGAAAAACCACGGTAGATAGATACCTTTTCCATGCGAGCCTCATTTCAGGCCTCTTCCTGCTTGGGACAATGGCAGGGCAGAGGGATCTCCCAAGAAAAACTTGGCAGTGCACTGGAGCAGGTTCAGCAAAGGGGGCGGCCGTTAGGCAGCCAGCTGTCAGGCAGGTGGGAGCACTTTGGTTACAGGACCTTAGCGCGGCAGCCCCTTTTAGCCAGGTTTGATCCCTTCTGCTTGCTGCTAGATTGTCTCCTCCTTTCCTGCCTTCCTCCTCCACCTCCTCCCTCTCCGGGCGGGCGGTGACTAAGCAGCCAGTGAGAGTGAAAGAAAATTGAGCTCTCTGCCTGGAGCACCAGCCTTGTGGGCTGGAGCCATGGCTCCACTCCAGATCAGGGGAGGAGCCTGGTCCCAGGCCATAGCTGCCTTGGCCTGACGCCTCCAACGCCAGGCTTCCAGCTTTGAGGGTCTGTTATGGCAGGTGTTGGGGAGACTTGCTGCATTCTTCATCCTCTCTGCAGGATAACTTGAGGGTGTCCAGGACGCCTTCCAGCAGCGCGGAGGGAATGCTCCCTAGGGTTAGGTGTGCCGTCGGTTGCCGAGTCCTTGCTACAGCCAGAGAGCAAGTTGTGGGGCCAGGGCAGTGATCATCGGCCTCCTCTTGTTAGGCTGCCGGTTCCTTGCTGGAGAATTTGGCCACAAAGAGTTGCCAAGATAGCTGGGCCAGGAAGGAAGCGCCGCAGCCCTGACCCAGACGCTGTTGCCGACCCTGGGGCACTCTGGCTGTCCACCAAGCGGCTCAAGATGTCTGGCGGGGCTAATGCCTCGGGCCCAAGGAGGGGGCCCCCAGGATTGGAGGAGGCCACTAGTAAGAAGAAGCAAAAGGATCGAGCAAACCAGGAGAGCAAAAACGGAGATCCTAGGAGAGGTGAGGGTGGGATTCCCAGCGTGTTCATGCATGGCCCGAGTGTACAGAAGGAAGGGTTGGGAGCTGGTGGGGAATAGCGTGTTCTTGGAGAGGTGGTGTTTTCCCCTTCTCGCTGTGCCAAGAGAAGGACCAGAGGGGGCCGGCTAGAGCCTCGGCGTGGAAGTGGAGTACTTGCCTCAAGTCCTGACCATGTTGCTTCGTGGGGTGATAGTGCCTTGGGGGCTGCCTCCCTAACATGACCCTCCTCTTCCTTATTTTGTTGTTGGGGTCAGTGTCCACTCCTCAGGAGGAGCAGACCAAAGAGGGTGAGTAATGCATGGGCCCCAGGGCAGTGGAAGCAGGGAGAAGTCGGCAGAGGCAGGGGTGGTGGGGACATTGTTAATTCCCATCTGGGGCGGTCCTATTAGGCCGGGTCTCTGGTCCCTGCTGATTTCTTCAGGAACTTGCAGAGACACCTCATGCTCCTTTTGCCCCTCTGCTGACAGAGGTGTTGTTAGCGTGGAGGCAGAGTGCAGATGAGGTGATTGTCAAGCTGCGCTTGGGAGCAGGCGCCCTCCAGCTGGAGGACGTGAACAGTGTCTTCACAGACACTCACTGTGCGGTGAGGCTTCCAGGTGTGTCCATCTGCCCTGTGCCGAGATCCATTTGAGCCCTCTGACCATCCCCGCCTCAGCTCACTGCCCCCCATTCTATCTCCAGATGGTCGGCAGTGGGGTGGTGTCTTCTATGCCGAGATCGAAAGTTCTTGTGTCAAAGAGCAGGCCCGCAAGGGTGGCCTCTTGCAGCTGGTGCTTCCCAAGAAGGTGCCTCTGCTCACATGGCCTACCCTCCTGGTGAGTTCCGGGGAGTGATGGGTGGGAATGCTCAGAGGGAGGCGCCAGGGCCTGACTGCTCTATCTTTGACAGAAGAAACCTCTGGGGACCCAGGACCTGGCATCTGGGCTGCGGTGCCAGGAGAATGGGCAGGAGCTGTCTTCTGTTGCCCTGGAGCCTGGCCCCGAGCCCCGCAGGGCCAAGCAGGAGGCCCGGAACCAGAAGCGGGCCCAGGGCCGTGGCGAGGTGGGCTCAGGGGCTGGCCCCGGGACCCAGGCCGGGCCCAGCGCCAAGAGGGCTGTGCATCTCCGCAGAGGGCCTGAGGGGGAATCTCGGAAGGATGGTCCTGGACCCCAGGGCGATGCCCCACCCTTCCTGGTCGAGCCAGCCACCCAGGTGAGGGCAAGGGTATCTTGGTGGGAGCTGGGAGCTTGGGCAAAAGACTTGGGATTGTCTTGGGGTCTGCCGCGGCCAGGCCGGCTGATGCTGCTCACAATCTCTCTGTGAATAGGCTGGGGCTGAGGAACAGCTCCGAGTCCCACCATTGAAACCCCAGGGCTCAGAGGAGAATCGAGCCCCTCTGGTGGGAGAGAAGGCAGTATCCCCCAGGAGTGGCCCACTCTCCCCAACAATTACCCGGAGCAGAGACGCTGGGAAAGGTGACCAGTCCAAGGAAGAGGCGGCAGTGACAGCAGATGCTGCAACCTTGGCAGATGGTAAAGCTGGGCCGGGGGTGGGGTGGCAGGTGGAGCCCTGGGGTGGGTTGCAGTATTGGTGGGCAGGCGGGGAGTTGAATAGCGATAGGCTTGGACTTGCCCCGAGTGGCACTGAGCCATAGTCCCAATACAGACCCCGAGTCCATGGTGAGCCTGGCCTTTGTCAAGAATGACTCGTATGAAAAGGGGCCAGACTCCGTGGTGGTTCACGTGTATGTGAAGGAGATCTGCAGGGACATGTCCCGCGTGCTTTTCCGTGAGCAGGACTTCACGCTCATCTTCCAGACCAGGTGAGCGGCGGGGCAGAAGAATGGGACAAGCCATCCGACCTGACCCTCCCCTCGCTCAGGTTCACCAGCATGACTCATGCGCTTCCTCCTGCCCTGCCCCTGGTCTGCTCCCTTAGGGATGGAAACTTCCTGAGGCTGCACCCGGGCTGCGGGCCCCACACCATCTTCCACTGGCAGGTGAAGCTCAGGTGGGTGGTGCCCGGCCCCACCCCAGCCTCTTCCATCCCGGGCTCCAGCTCCCTGGCCCGTCTACCCCAACATTGGCTCCACTTGAGTCCCTGAGTATAGCCTTCTCCCACAGGAACCTGATTGAGCCTGAGCAGTGCACCTTCTGTTTCACGGCCTCTCGCATCGACATCTGCCTCCGTAAGCGGCAGAGTCAGCGCTGGGGGGGCCTGGAGGCCCCAGCTGCACGAGGTCTGCACACGAGCTCCCTTCATTGCCCAGCCCCGCCTGACCAGTACCCTCTGCCCCCATATGCTGCTAACCACCAGCCCTCTCATTCCCCCTTTTTAAGGTGCAGTGGGTGGTGCAAAGGTTGCCATGCCGACAGGTCCAACCCCTCTGGATTCAACTCCTCCGGGCAGTGCCCCACACCCACTGACTGCCCAGGAGGAAGCCCGGGCTGTGGAGAAGGAGAAACCCCAGGCTCGCTCTGAGGACCCAGGGCTGGATGGTGTGGCCGCTCGCACCCCCGTGGAGCATGTTGCCCCCAAGCCTGAGCCACACTTGGCCTTGGTGAGCATCCTGGGGTGGAGGAGTCCAGGTGTCGGCCAGGAAGCCCCAAGGCTGTTCTCTCATGCTCCCCTTGCCCCTGCAGCCTAAGCCCACATGCATGGTGCCCCCCATGCCACACAGCCCTGTGAGTGGGGACAGCGTGGAGGAAGAGGAGGAAGAAGAGAAGAAGGTGTGTTTGCCAGGCTTCACTGGCCTTGTCAATCTAGGCAACACTTGCTTCATGAACAGTGTCATCCAGTCTCTGTCCAACACACGCGAGCTGCGGGACTTCTTCCATGGTGAGGGCAGGGCTGGGGACATGGGGCCTGGGGAGCAGGCCAGGGGCCTTCCCACGCTCACCTCTCTGCTTGGCTCCTGACTCTAGACCGCTCCTTTGAGGCCGAGATCAATTACAACAACCCCTTGGGGACCGGTGGGCGACTGGCCATCGGCTTTGCTGTGCTGCTGCGGGCGCTGTGGAAGGGCACCCACCACGCCTTCCAGCCGTCCAAGCTGAAGGTAAGCTGCTCTTATGCCCCCTTCTTGGCTGGGGGCGATGGGGAGGGTCAGCCAGTTGGGTGCATGGTGGGCCCCGGGGCCCGTGCTCACGCCTTGGCCCCTGCATCCAGGCCATTGTGGCGAGCAAGGCCAGCCAGTTCACGGGCTATGCGCAGCACGACGCCCAGGAGTTCATGGCTTTCCTGCTCGATGGGCTGCATGAGGACCTGAACCGTATCCAGAACAAGCCCTACACGGAGACCGTGGACTCAGATGGGCGGCCTGATGAGGTCAGGCTTGTGGCAGAGGGTGGGCAACCCTCGGGTCTTTCTGGTCCTTACCTCTCACACACACACACACCCCTAACCCCTACCCCCCCTCACCTCCCCAGGTGGTGGCTGAGGAAGCGTGGCAGCGGCACAAGATGAGGAACGACTCTTTCATCGTGGACCTATTCCAGGGCCAGTATAAGTCGAAGCTGGTGTGCCCTGTGTGCACCAAGGTGGGTGGGGCTCCTTGGGGAAGGGGGTCCTCTGGAAAGGGGGCTTCTGGGCAGACCAGAAGCATCCGTGGAATGCAAGCACGGGAGAACCCATCCAGCATCTCCAGGAGAGGGTGCCAGTTAGCCATGTGACTCCTGCCCTCACTGTGTGTGGCCCCCCCCAGTGCCATGTCCGTGTGTCTGCAGGTCTCCATCACCTTTGATCCATTCCTCTACCTGCCGGTGCCCTTGCCCCAGAAGCAGAAGGTCCTCCCTGTCTTCTATTTTGCGCGGGAGCCGCACTCCAAGCCCATCAAGGTGAGGAGAAGGCCTGTCCTCCAGGGGCCGGGCCTTGCTGCCCCTGCTTCCCCCTGAACCTGCTTGTGTCGCCCCAGTTCCTGGTGAGTGTCAGCAAGGAGAACTCCAGTGCCAGCGAGGTGCTGGACTCCCTCTCTCAGAGCGTCCACGTGAAGCCTGAGAACCTGCGTCTGGCGGAGGTAAGGCTCGGCTCCTGTGCACACGCACAGCACACCGGCCCTGTGCACGGACACTGGCGCGTCGGCGGGTTGGGTGCACTTGGCTGAGGCCCCGTGGGAACCCGGCACTTGGGCTGTGTACCAGAGGTGCCCTGTAGCTCCCAGCTGTCAGGGTTTAGTCTCCTCTTCAATGGTGGCCTCCAGCCGCTTTCCCCACCTCCAACAAAGGCCCTGTCCCTCTACCCACTCGGGTCCTCCCTCCATCAGACTGGTCCCCTCATGTTACCCCAGCTCCGTGGACACCTCCTCCTCTAGCCTGGCGGTGAAGGGTGAGGAAGAGACCCCTCGACCCCTTGAACATGCCCCCCCCTCCCCCGCCTCCCCAGTCCAGCTACGTGACAGAACTGTGTGCTTCCTAGGTATCTCCAGACTGGCTTTCTGGTTCTTTAGTTTAGTGGTACTGAGGGTGGCTGCAGCAGGTGGGGTCCCTCTTTTGGGTAGTGAACCCCACTCCTGTCCCCGTGTGCCCCAAATTAGGGCCAAGCCTTCTCTGTGCTCTGGGGCAGCGAGGGCACAGGCTCATTCTCACGGGAGACCTGTGATCTCTGCCCCAGGTGATTAAGAATCGCTTCCACCGTGTGTTCCTGCCCTCCCACTCCTTGGACACCGTGTCCCCATCTGATGTCCTCCTCTGCTTTGAGCTTTTGTCCCAAGAATTGGCGAAGGAGCGGGTGGTGGTGTTGCAGGTACAACAGGTGAGTAGGGGTCACCCCGACCACAACAGGGCCCGGGGGGTGGGGGTGGGACTTCCCCTGGCCTGTGCTTTGCTGAGCCAAACACCCCACCCCAGCGCCCCCAGGTGCCCAGCATCCCCATCTCCAAGTGTGCGGCCTGCCAGCGGAAGCAGCCGTCGGAGGATGAGAAGCTGAAGCGCTGTACCCGGTGCTACCGCGTTGGCTACTGTAACCAGTGAGAGCCGTACTGTGCCCCCACCCAGCCTCCATCACGCAGGCTTTCATCCTCTCCTACCACCCTGATCGACTGGGCTCTGTGGGGTGGCCGGGCTGACATGCCTACCTCCCGGGGCTCCCAGCCCTCACTGAGAGCTGCAGCAGGTGGGGCCCAGGCCCTTTGCTGACCCTCCCCCTGTCCTTCAGGCTCTGTCAGAAAACGCACTGGCCTGATCACAAGGGCCTCTGCCGCCCTGAGAACATTGGCTACCCCTTCCTGGTCAGTGTACCTGCCTCCCGCCTCACTTATGCCCGCCTTGCTCAGCTGCTGGAGGGCTATGCCCGGTAAGTGCCCAGTGGCTTGGACTGAAGGTGAGGTGGTGGGTGGGGTGCAAAGCTGCCTCATGGGCATGTGTGCGCGCACTGATGAGAATGTCTGCCTCACTTTGCTGTTTCCAGATACTCGGTGAGCGTGTTCCAGCCACCCTTCCAGCCTGGCCGCACAGCCTTGGAGTCCCAGGGCCCTGGCTGTACTTCACTGCTCTCTGCTAGCTCTCTGGAGGCTGGAGACAGTGAACAGGACCCTAGCCAACCTCCTGAGCTCCAGCTGGTGACCCCTGTGGCTGAAGGGGACACGGGGCCCCCCCGAGTGTGGTCAGCCCCCGAGCGGGGCCCCGTGCCCAGCACCAGTGGAGTTTCTCCAGAGATGCTGGCCAGTGGGCCCCCTGAGGTTGGCTCCTTGTCCACTGGTGAGAGAATATCCCGACCCGAAGGTCAGAGTCCATGAAAGGCCTTGGAGCTGGGTTGGGCATGGAGGGCTGGGGGATACTCGGCTGGGCTCTGGGTGGCAGGGCAGTTCTGATCACCATGCTCACCTCCAGCTGCCATCCCCGGCTACCAGCATCCAAGCGAAGCCCTGAGCGTGCACACATCCCAGTTCTTCATCTACAAAATTGATGCAGCCAACCGAGAGCAGCGGCTCGAAGACAAAGGTGTCTGTGGCCAGGGTTCTGTGCCAGAGGCGGGGTGGGGCAGGCTGCTGCTCCTCCCAGCTGCGTGACCTGACCCCCTCCCTCTCCCGGCTCCAGGAGAGGCCCCAATGGAGCTGGGCGATGACTGCAGCCTGGCTCTGGTCTGGCGGAACAACGACCGCCTGCCTGAGTTTGTTCTAGTGGCCTCCAAGGAGCTGGAATATGCTGAGGACCCAGGCTCAGCCGGCGAGGCCGCCCGTGCTGGCCACTTCACCCTGGACCAGTGCTTGAACCTCTTCACGCGGCCCGAGGTGCTGGCACCCGAGGAGGCCTGGTGAGAGAGATCAGGCGGCCCGGCAGGTCGTGGGTCAGGGGGCACTGGAGATGTGCGGGTCCTGACTCCCTTCTCCCACCCCGGCAGGTACTGCCCGCAGTGCAAACAGCACCGCGAGGCCTCCAAGCAGCTGCTGCTGTGGCGCCTGCCGAACGTGCTCATCGTGCAGCTCAAGCGCTTCTCCTTTCGCAGTTTCATCTGGCGGGACAAGATCAATGACTTGGTGGAGTTCCCTGTTCGGTGAGCGATGAGCCCTGGTGGTGACTGCGGGCCAGGCTTGCGGTCAGGGTGGGGATGCTGGGCACCCGCTGACCCCCTCACCGTTGCTTGTTGGACCACAGGAATCTCGACCTGAGCAAGTTCTGCATTGGCCAGAAGGAGGAGCAGCTGCCCAGCTACGACCTGTACGCCGTCATCAACCACTACGGAGGCATGATTGGTGGCCACTACACGGCCTGTGCCCGCCTGCCCAGTGACCGCAGCAGCCAGCGCAGTGACGTGGGTGAGGGCACACGCAGTTGACAGGATAGGCGGTGGAGTTGGGGTGTGGGCTCCGTTCACACTCTTGCCACCCCGCTGTAGGCTGGCGCTTGTTCGATGACAGCACAGTGACGACTGTGGATGAGAGCCAGGTTGTGACGCGCTATGCCTATGTGCTCTTCTACCGCCGGCGGAACTCTCCCGTGGAGAGACCCCCCCGGGCTGGCCACGCTGAGCACCACCCAGATCTAGGCCCTACAGCCGAGGCTGCTGCCAGCCAGGTGAGGCACAGGGGAGGCTTCCCAGGGCAGTGGAGCCCGTCCCAGATTTGGAGGAGAGGGGGGTGCGTGCAGCTCTTTCTTCTGCAGCCACAGGTCCCCGGAGCCCAGTGCTTGTAGCCTGTAGCCCGGGGACGTTCGCCCACATGCCACCAGTGTGCACTTAGGCACCCATTGGGCACAGGCTGCTCAGCTGCTCGGAACCTCACTGGGCACTGTGCCATGAACAGACTCCCCGTTTTCTTGGGAGACTACCTGACGCTCTCCCAGTTTTCCTTCCCCCTGCTCAGAGCCCCTCCCTTGCCATCCTCCCTGCGTCTGGCACGCACTCAGGGCAGGGCCTGTCTGGGATGGTAACATGACAGTTACCTCCCTCCCAGCCCCTCCCCGCCCCCCAGGTGAACCTCTATCCCCTCAGAGCCTTCAGGGTGTCCTGTCTCTTGTTGACACAGAGTGCCATAGGCCAAAAGGTGGTACAGCCACAGCCCCTTCCTGAAACTGGCTTTCCCTTGCTGCTCCCGTCTCTCCTTGGGCCCACTCTGGTTCTAGGCTTAGAAAAATCCCTCGAGAAGAAGACAGGGGTCAGGAGTTGGCCGTGGGTGGGCGGGAGTCCTGTTCTCTAGGAGCAGACCTTTGGGACTCAGTGCTGGTGCTGCAGCAGACCCCTCTGTGGTTCTCTGGGCAGGGCGATGGTGGCACCCTTGGTGACCCTTTGTTGGGCACTGGCAGTCACAGGGACACTGGGTCTCCGTACCCCCAGGGTGCTGATGGCCATTTCCACACACTGTAGGCTTCCCGGATTTGGCAGGAGCTGGAGGCCGAGGAGGAGCTGGTGCCTGAGGGGCCTGGGCCCCTGGGTTCCTGGGGGCCTCAAGACTGGGTGGGGCCCCCATCACGTGGGCCCACCACACCAGACGAGGGCTGCCTCCGGTACTTTGTCCTGGGCACCGTGGCAGCTCTGGTGGCCCTCGTGCTCAACGTGTTCTATCCTCTGGTGTCCCAGAGCCGCTGGAGATGAGCTTGCCTGTAGGCAGCTGCTGTGAGCCGGCCACTGGCCCGCCCACCAGGGCAGGCCGGGTGCCTCTGGTGGGGACAGACTCCGGGCTTCCGGCCTCAGTGTGTGCATCTGGGGCGGGGAGAGAGTGGATACTGTGACCCCAATGGGGGCAGAGTGCCCTAGGATGACTTACCTGTCCTGCCGTGTGTCCATTTGTCCTGCTGCTCCGACCCTTGGCCTGGGGCTTGGCCCTGCCCAAGCTGCTTCCTGTACTTAAAGTGTTAATAAAGCGAGACTGTTCAGGCCCGATCTCGTCTCTCTGTCTCAATGCCGATGGCTGTCTGCGCCTGCCTTGGGGCCCTCCCTTGGGTGCCGGGGCTCTGAGCCAGCACCCCCGGGATGCCAGGCGGCATGCTGGGCAGCCCCCAACCCCTGTCCTCATATTCTGTTGCAGGGACTAGGCCCTGGCCAGGCCCCCGAGGTGGCCCCCCCGCGGACAGCCCCTGAGCGCTTCGCCCCCCCTGTGGACCGCCCAGCCCCCACCTACAGCAACATGGAGGAGGTCGATTAGTAGGTCCCTGGCAGGTGGGGGGACTGGGTTTGGGGATCCCCCACAGATGGCCAGCTCTTGACCGCTTCTCCGTTTCTAACCCAGAGGACCCTGGCTCCATCAAAGGGGAGTTGGGGGCCATGATTTGGGGATAGAGACCTCTCAGGTGGGGTCCTGTTGTCAGTTCGGCCCCCTGACCAGTGGGCCGTGACTTCTCCAGCTGCCTCCCAGTGCTGCGTGATTTGATTCTCACTTGTACCTTGAATTCTTTCTGATCTGCATTATAAACGTTAATTTTATTCTTAAAACTGTACTTTTTTTTTTGCATTTTGGAAGTGATTGCTGCTGTTTAAATATATTTTAAAAATAAATAATGATAAGCGGACTTAGTGACTGGTGCACTGGGTGCCGTGGCCACCTCGTGTGTGTGTGTGTGTGTGTGTGTGTGTGTGTGTGTGTGTGTGTGTGAAGGGGTGGTGGCTAAGGAAAGATGGTAAACGTGGAGGGATTGTGGTCTGTCTACTACTAAAGGAACTCCGGTGGCACAGTCAAGGAGCCATGGTGGTGCATTGAGCTGCTAACCACAAAGTCAGTGGTTCGAAGCCACCAGTTACACTGTGGGAGAAAGTAGAGGCTGTCTGCTCTCATAAAGAGTTAAAATCTTGGAAGCCCAAAAGGACAATTCTACTTTGCCCCATCGCTTCGCTGTGCGTTGGACCCCCCTCGACGCCTGCCAGTTTGATATTTTGGTGGTTGGGGAAGTGGGTTACACATCGGACGGCTCACTGAAAGGTCTGCCATTTCAAGCCCACTTGCTGTTCAATGAGAGGGGATGACATGGCTACCGACTCTGATACTTATGGCCTCAGAAACCGAGCCCAAATGAACTTAACAGCAGTGGGTTTGGCTTCCTTGGATGTTACTCCTTGGTCCGCTCTGCTCACAGAAGCGTTGTGCTTGGCATAATGGTGAAGGCGTCTGGTTAAAGGATGGAGGGGTTATCTGTCATCTGTAGAAAAGGCGAAGGCCTGGGCACTGTGGCAGCCTCAGGTTGACAACTAGCAGCAGGTCATGGAGGTTTTTCTGGGGACAACAGGAAATATTTGCCCTTCAGAACCCCAGCCCATGACGGGTGGAGCCTGCAATCTGCAGAGGTGACCAAGGGTTATCCTGGCTTCAGTTTGTGTTCCTGGGGTCTCTGAGGAGAGCTGGCTCCGATTTTGATGCTCAGCCTGGAGGAGCAGAGCTCAGACTTGGGCTCCAATCTCCGATCCTTTTCACCTTTTCCTGCCCTCAGATTTTCCTTTGCTGTAATATGAGGACCGACTGGATCCCTCTGGGGAAAACAGAACGGGAAGAAGACATTGTGCAACTGAGCAGGTGACCCTTCTCTGAAGTCAGGCAGAGGACCACAGCCAATCTTGGCTGACTTCCTGTGGGACAGAGGGTGTGGGCCCTGTGAGACCATCCCTTTCCTGTAGAGTCCCTGCAACCTTGATTCCAGCAGTGGCCCCAGTCGGTTTTCTCACAGTCGGTTCACAGTCTCCTCCAGCCCTCGAGCCTCTGCTCTGCAGCCTTGCACACCCAGATTGCCAGGGCAAATACGAGAAGGCCCCTTGTCTCTCTTGGTCAGTACAGCTGCCCCTTCCCTTTGAATTGCTTGGGTGCAGGACTGAAGCTGAAGAAGTTCCTAGAAGTCCAAGAAAGAAGCAGAGGTGGGGTGCCATCCCAGTGCCCCATAGGCCCATCTCTACCCCCAAAGCTATGAATGGGGCTCACGTGAAGCTCAGTTTGCAGGAACTAGGAGCATTGCTCAGCCTCAACCAGACTCGCACCATGGCAGTGCCCAGAGGGAACTCCTGGATATAGCCCTGTGAACAACCCCTGGCGTTTCCCCTTGGGACAAGGGCACTGGGACTGTGTGGAGTTGCTGGTTGGGGAGAGAAGCCCAGAGAGCTGGGTGGGGTCCTGCAGGAAGGGTGGCAATGATGAGTTAGGTGCTGGTGATAGGGCACTGCTGCAGGGGCCACTAGGCACGGGGAACAGGTTGTGCTGGGCCTTTATGTGTGGGAAGCAGAGGTCGAGGGGCTCCCTGCCTGGCCTAAGCTCGGCTGCTACTGTGACCTCCACATTGTGGCCTCTCTGGGGACAGACAGGCACGGCCTCTGGGCTCACTATTGGTCACACCACATGGTCTGAGTCATTGGATGCTGCCTCTCCCATGCTACAGCTGAGCCTTGCTGGCCATGGCCCGACTTCTCTCCCAGGTCACCTTTCTCTCAACTATTCTGGAAGCAGTGACATGGGGATCATGTAGGTAGATTGGCCCCATATAATCTCATGGTTTGGCTCTGGCCCTGGAGTGGTCACAGGTGCCACCGGATTGACTGGGCCCAATGTCATTTGTGACACACTCTGCCATGGTCCTGAGATTACGTTCACATCCTGTGACTTGAAGCCCCAGGACAGGCACCATGGGGAACCTGGGAAAGTGTGCCACCACCAGGCCAACAGGACTCAGACTCTGTGGTGCTGGTGATGTGCTGATCTCGTATACTGAAGAGATGGTGGCGCTGGTGGCATGCCATGTGACTTCATCATGGGCACCTCTGGTGGGCTGGCCACCTGCCACATGGGCAACGTGTGTTCCTTTGCCATGACCCCTGCACAGGGCTGGTGTGGCTGTGACGGTTCTGAGTGCAGCTGTGCCAGAATCTTCCCAGCTGTGCACACCACCTTCCCAGCTCTCCGCCTGCACCTGGCCTCCCACGGGTATAGCGCACGAGGACTGGACTGGGCATCAGACTGGGGCTATGGGGAGGTGGGAACACAGGGCTGGCTTGGGACACGATGAAGCATGTGACTTTGGGCAGAACCTGACAGGTGGCCATCATGTGAAACCCACACGGAGGCCCCATGCAGAGCTTAAGCACTGGCTACAGATAGCGTCCTGCCCCGTCCTTGAATGTCCAGGAGGATGAGCCACACTAAGGCTTCAAAGAGCCTGAGTTCCAATCACCCTAACCTGCCCAGTGTTTGTAGTTTCTAGTTTACCAGGTCCTGGGGGTCCAGGGATCTCAGAGACAACAGCCACACTCTTCATTCCGTTGCACCTGCCCCTCCCTGTTTGCTAACTGAAAGACCAGTGGTCCCAAGGCACCCAGCGCCTTCCAGGGAAACTTTGCTTGCAGTTGGCTCCAGTGAAGATGACAGCAGGGGAAACCAGCAAGGGGTCAGTTCTGCCTTGCCCTATACTATAGGGCCTGTAGGGTCGCCAGGAGTCAGAATCCTGTTCCAACCTCAATAAACCATCATGCCAAGGCTCGTGGGTGAATTTCTTGGTCTAATTTGCTTGTAGCATCTGCGAGCTTGGGCCACGGGATTTAAAAAGACAGCCTAGAACCTTTACAAGCTCCTCAGTTTGGAGTGGGGGGGGGAAGTGTCAGACGTGGGGTGGGGGGAGGCGCTGAGGTAGGGTTTTCTGCACTGGAGTCTGTCTTTAGTATTTCCTGGGCTTCAGATGGCGCTACTGTTTCCATGACAACCCCAAAGCTGCAAAGTCCAAAGAGCTCTAGGGACCCATTGTCATTCTAGGGACCCTGAGAGAGTTCCCAGGCTCCCGAGGGGGAAAGCTGAAGAGCAGAGAGCTACGCCCACGCCTTCCTCTGGCTCGGTGAGGTCACTGCCAGGTCCCAGACAAAAGAAGACTTTAAGTGGCTTCCGCCTGGGAGAAGCAAGGTCTAGGCCCGGAAGGACCGGTTCGCTCGCCTTCGGTCCCTTTAATAGGGAGGATGTCCCTGGCGAGCCCCGCCCACCCTCACCAGAACGGGCACCATTGGCTCTACCGGCAGTCTCGTTCTCCTATTGGCCACTTGTTCACTGCGAACACTCAGATTGGCCTCAAAGTTTTCTTTTCGTTTCCGGTGTCTCCACGATGGCGACTCCGGACTCCCTGGCGTTGTTCACCGGCCTCGGGTTAAGCGAACTTAAGGCCCGCGAGACGCTCAAGAACACGACTCTGAGCACGCAGTTGCGCGAGGCGGCCACCCAGGTGCGCGCCCTTCTGCCCTGGCCGGGGCTGCCGCCGCGCCGTGCTGCGTCCCCATTCCGGGCGCTTCCCCCTTCGGTTAATTCCGCCGCTCTCACTAGGCCTGGCGTTTCTCTCCTGACCCCTCTGTCCCCAGGCGCAGCAGACCTTAGGCTCCACTATCGACAAGGCTACCGGGACCCTGCTGTATGGCTTGGCCTCCCGACTCAGGGATCCCCGACGCCTCCCCTTTCTCGTGGGCTACATCGCCCGTAAGAAGATCCACAGCGAGCTCCAGCTGAGCGGTAAGACCCTGCTTACCCTCCCTCAGGATGCGCAGTCAGCCCCTTGACATTCCAGATCCTAATCCGGCACCCCTCTTCTGAAGCAGGGTCTTAGCATTGATGGGAAGCGGGAGGGGAACGGTCTGGGACTGACTGGGGAGCCTGAAAAGGCTTCTCTAAGGTCAGGCAAGGATTGTCCTTCCGAAGAGACCAAAGACCTCAGGTTGCGGTCCCAGGGGATTGGGACCGTGTCTGTCTGCCCATTGGTGTTAAGGGCTCACAAACTCATGGACCCTCCCATGCCAGCTGCCCTTGAGTATGTGCGGAGTCACCCTCTGGATCCCATCGACACCGCGGACTTTGAGCGGGAGTGTGGTGTGGACGTCATGGTGACCCCAGAGCAGATCGAGGAGGCGGTGAGTCTTTCTTTAGGGGCCCCCTCCCTAGCACTGGTCCTGGGGATGAATGGCCAACCTGCTCCACCCAGAACGACTCCCGAGTGAGGGTGGTAGCTCCCAGAGTGTAACTGAAGGTGGTTTCTCTGAATCACCTTGTTTGGCTTCCTGCAGGTGGAGGCTGCTATCAATCGGCACCGGCCCCAGCTCCTGGAGGAACGTTACCATTTCAACATGGGGCTGCTGATGGGTGAGCTGGGATTGGGGCTATCGGCTGTGTTTTCTCTTCCAGGCAGGAGTGAGAGGAGGTGGGGGAGGAGCGCCTTAAAATTGGTCTGGCTGGGCCAGGCTCTGGTTCCCGGGATCCCCAGCCAGGCTCACCCTTTGGAGGTGGGTTTCGGTGGGGAAGCACCCTCCTTTGGCTTCATGTAGCTCTTTGGGCCTTTACTTGCAGGGGAGGCCCGGGCTGTTCTCAAATGGGCCGATGGCAAAATGATCAAGCATGAAGTGGACATGCAGGTAGGCACTCCCTGAGCTGAAGCTGGCAAAGACCTTGGCATGGATGGGTCCTAAGAGTGTACTGAGGGATCAAAGAGGAGAAGAGAACCAGTTGTCATTCTGGTGGCCGTGGGGTGGAGGTGGCAGCACCTCGGCTTGCAGTCAGACTTGGTTCTCTAAATTGTGCCTGGCCTAATTTGAGGTGAGGCACACACTCTGCACCTCAAATTCTTAATCCCATAAGTAGAGCTGATGTGACCTTCCCTACAGGCTGCTAGCATAGGAACACAAGAGGGTGAGGGCCGAGCTACATTGCTTGTGTTGATGCTAGTCCCATTGCACATGGCAGGACTTGGTGCTTAACTTGGCCGAGGACAGAACCTTGGAGGGGAAAGGGTATTTGAGGTTAACTATGTTATGAGCAGAGATGGAATGGGTTAAGTAGGTTCTCAAAGTGGGGGCCTTATAGAAAGGCAAGGAAATCCTTGGGAGGTAGGCAGGAACTCCTGCCCCAGGCCTGACTCTGGTTTCTACTTAGGTCCTTCACCTTCTGGGTCCCAAGAAGGAGTCTGATCTGAACAAGAAATCCAAGGTAGGACCGTGTGGTAGAGTAGCGTGAGATTCCAGGGTGGGGAAGGGACTGATCACAAGACCTTGCCCAGGAGAGACTTGGAGACAGTTTCTGGGCTTCCTTTAGGTCGTAAAGGCTCGGCCAGAAGATGCAGACCGGAAGAAAGCCAAGGATGTAGTTGAGAATGGTAAGAGGCTTGAGACTCCCATTCGATTCAGCAACCTGACTTTGGCTCTTGACCCTGTTGGGTCCTCAGCCCAGCCTCCTCAATGTTCAGTGCCTACCTACCTTCTTCCCCAAGGCTGGGATGCCTAGTGTTGCCTGAAGAGGGCACAGGAGTCTGGCTCTGTTAGGTCTTATCTCTGGGGTGGGACAAAGAGGAGTCTGGTCAGTTCTATCATGATTGTGGGATGTGGGTGCTATTGAAAGACTCCTCCTTTAGAGAGATGGAGTTATATCCAGAGGGCATGTTTTTCTTGGTCTCATCTCCAGGCATGGCTGCTGGCCAGGCTCTGTCCCTGATGGAGCAGCTCCGGGGAGAGGCACTCAAGTTCCACAAGCCTGGTGAGTGAGTGAGTGGGTCGGAACACTGGGCAATAGGGAGCGCTGGTAGCAGCTGATATCCGAGAGTGGCGGTCTTGGGCTGCAGCCTGATTGTCCCCTACTCTGGTCTTGACAGGTGAAAACTACAGGACCCCAGGCTATGTGACCACTCCCCACACCATGGATCTGCTGAAACAGCACCTGGAGGTCACTGGGGGACAGGTGTGTGAGCAAGTGGCCAAGCGAGCTACTTCTGTCATGCCCCAGGACCTGGGCTACCTCTGTAGTGCTCCAGGACCTCCTACCACCTATCACCATGACTTCCCTGGGATGGGACAGTCTCAGCTGCAGCTGCCCTCCTGTCCTCCCATCTCCCACCCTTAGGTGCGGACCCGGTTCCCGCCGGAGCCCAATGGAATCCTACACATTGGACATGCCAAAGCCATCAATTTCAACTTCGGCTATGCCAAGGTGAGTGTGCGTCTGGGGAGGAGACATGCAAGGTGAACACCTGCTGTCCCTGTGGCTGGAAACCAGAGAGGGGTCCTCATCTTCCCTGCTGGTCCTGGTGGTGTGGCCAGAGTGGGTGGAGGCCATGGAGAGGGAAGCACCTGGGTGACGCTGCCTGCGGGTGGGGGTGGGGGTGGGGGGTTCATTGTACTCGCAGGGGAAAAGCTCTGGGGTGAGGCCATGAGGAGACCTTTGGGGAGATCCCTAGTGCATCCCCTTAACTCCAGAGACATTGTCCTCTGTGCCTCAGGGTGGTCTTAAGAGCTGCCCAGGGTGGACCATTTAGATGCTGGAAGACAGCAGCTCTGGAAGGCATTTTCAGTTGTGTTCTGGGAGAGCGCTGAGGTGGGCCTTTGAAGAGCTAGATGGGTGCAGGGGTGGGGAGGGGGGCGATGAGGTTAGAGCTCACAGAGACTGCAACCCCTCTAGGCCAATAATGGGATCTGCTTTCTGCGCTACGATGACACCAACCCTGAGAAAGAGGAAGCCAAGTTCTTCACTGCCATCTATGACATGGTGGCCTGGCTGGGTATGAGCTGAGCGCGGGGCTGGGGCTAAGGACCCTGTCCTCGGCCGTGGCCAGCCCTTGGGTGTCCGTGGTGGTTGTTCATGCTGCATCTCTTCCTGCCCCAGGTTACTCACCTCACAAGGTGACATACGCTTCCGATTACTTCGACCAGCTCTATACCTGGGCCCTGGAGCTGATCCGCAGGTGAGAGCAGGGCCTTGGTAAGGGGGCCAAGGCAGGCTGACGGGGTCTCCACTGGACTGGAAGCTCATCACCCCTTCCCCACAGGGGCCAGGCCTATGTGTGCCACCAGCGAGGGGAGGAACTTAAAGGCCACAACCCTCCGCCCTCACCCTGGAGGGACCGTCCTGTGGAGGAGTCCCTGCTTCTCTTTGAGGTGGGAGTCCTGTCGGGGTGATGGGGTCTAGGCAGGCCAGGATGGGGAATACGAAGTGCTCCTGTGCTCAGATGCGGCCTGGGCCCTTGTTATCTGCAGGGCATGCGTAAGGGCAAGTTTGCAGAGGGCGAAGCCACGTTGCGGATGAAGCTGGAAATGGAAGATGGGAAAACGGACCCCGTGGCCTATCGCGTCAAGTACACCCCGCACCACCGCACAGGCGATACCTGGTGGGTGTGGGCAGGGTGTGGAGGGTGGTCGGGTTGTGCACTGGGGTTGCTGGGCTATGAGAGAGAGCCCACAGTGGCCCAATGCCTATGCTCACAGGTGCATCTACCCCACCTACGACTACACACACTGCCTCTGTGACTCCATAGAGCACATCACCCACTCACTCTGCACCAAGGAGTTCCAGGCCCGGTGAGGGAGCGTGGCTGGGGGGGGGGGGGGGGGGGGGCGTGCCCTGGGGCAGTTGTACACGCTTGCCCTGGGTACTGGGTGCACTGAGGAATGCTATAATGGACCACCACCATGTTTAATAGGGTCAGCGAACAATTACCAAGAAAATGTGCTCACCAGGACTACCCCCTTTTTAGGACAGGACCCAAGCTCCAAGTCCTAACAAAGACCAGGCTGGCCTGTCCAGTCAAGACTGGCGGACCACGAAACCATGTTCCTCCCTCCCCCTTCAGTTCTGGAAA